GGTACTAACACCATACATAGGGTCAGGTACTAACACCATACATAGGGTCAGGTACTAACACCATACATAGGGTCAGGTACTAACACCATACATAGGGTCAGGTACTAACACCATACAGTAGGATTTAGCAGTCAGGCGGTGCCTTGATGGTCATTGTCTTTTGTTGGTATAATGTGGATTCATAATTTTCGTTTTTGAACTGATTTTCTAGATCCTTTAAGGAATTATAAGTCCACCGATTCATTTTTTGATGTGTACAACATGAGAACAAATTTTAATCGTTAATTACTATCATGTTAAATTTGTTTAATTAGAAGAAAAAAAACAAGTGTTTTTTCTTATTCTTGGCCTTAAGTGGATAATAGGAGGTGGAAATGTATTCTTTAAAACTGTTGTAAATATTTCATTACACTGGCGATCAAAATCTGGGAATGCATAGATAAAAAATTTAATGAAACTTATAATACAAGGTTTTTCTTTTCTCATAGCATATTCTACAGCATTAAGCAGTCTTACCTTTCTGTTCTAAAGCATATATATATAGCAATCTTACCTTTTAGCTCTAGAGAGCGGTTTTACCTTGTTGGGTAATGCAATGCTTGCAAGAGACCAATACACCAAGAAAGTGTTGTGTAGTATAGATAATAATAGCGGTGTAAATGATATTTTGATATAACGTGGAGAGATAATGGTAAAGTCTCGATTCTTACGTTACAACAGCTTTGCAATGGGAGCACCTAACACAAGCCCTGTGGTATAGACTTTTGTTGACCTCCATTTTTTCCAACGCATAGACTGTTTTTCCACATGCTGCGCACTTGTCGAGGACAGGCACAAAGCTTGGCTTCTTCTGTACAAGGGAACAAAATCACGATGATAAAAAACATCAGTCATGTAACAAAGCCAGCCATTGGTTATTGCCAATTTAGCAGCAGCCAATCAAACTTTGGCCATGCTTTGGTTCAAGTTATTTTATTAGTCATGTGACGTGTAGAATGTTCAATGAGCAGTCAGATTGGAAGTATCACTTTTTAACCTTGATGATGTTTGATTGTGGTAAGAGAAATCGGAGAGTTTAGGGTGTAGTTGTAATAGGACTCTGCACATCCCCAGATTTCTGGTATGGTACTTCCCCTTTGTACTCATTTTTCCCGGTGTAGTCCTCCTCCCCTGAGTACTCTCCCCTCCCCTGAGTACTCTCCCCTCCCTGAGTACTCTCCCCTCCCCTGAGTACTCTCCCCTCCCCTGAGTACTCTCCCCTCCCCCGAGTACTCTCCCCTACCCTGTGTATTACCCGAGTAACCGGTAAATAAATGTACTTAGTAGGAGTTGAGAAGGTTGAAATCCAATGACAACTACCATACATATGAAAAAAGATCAATAAAAGTTTTCAAGATGCAAAAAAACATGTGCCAAAAATACCAAAAAGCCATTTCAAACGACAAATCTGTATCTAAGTGACAGTGTCGCCTCATACACTATGTCAAGACACTTGATTGAACGGTTAAATACATGTGATTAAAGACTTTACCTGTCTAAAATAACTTTAGGCTTATCTTATTATTCTACTTATGATCATTTAAAAATCACAGACCTTGATATCAATCAAGAATGAATTTCAATTTGTGATACTGAAGCTGTTGCCTTTGCACAATAAACCCAGGTACAAACTAGGTCAAGATCAACAACCCACAACTATAGTAATTATGTACAAACTAGGTCAAAATCTACAACCCAAAACTGTAGTATTTATGTACAAACTAGGTCAAGATCTACAACCCAAAACTGTAGTATTTATGTACAAACTAGGACAAGATCTACAACCCAAAACTGTAGTATTTATGTACAAACTAAGTCAAGATCTACAACCCAAAACTGTAGTATTTATGTACAAACTAGGTCAAGATCTACAACCCAAAACTATAGTAATTATCATATATATTGTATGAAGTCTTAGGGGTTAATGCTATTTTACTGGACATCTACAAATGTACCAATCAAACACCATGCCATAGTCTAGTTTTTAACTTATTCATGTTTTCAAAAACTAACTTCACAGAAACTTCAATATTATTCAGCTAAGCTTATTCTTTTACCAAGAACATCAGGAATGCTGAAAACAATCCATTGCACTGCATATCGTACATAAAATTATTGTTGACATTTTAGCCATTATGTTTACTTTGATACCTTCGACAGATTTGGACATTTTAGCCATTATGTTTACTTTGATACCTTCGACAGATTTTAACATTTAGCCATTATATTTACTTTGATACCTTCGACAGATTTGGACATTTTAGCCATTATGTTTACTTTGATCCCTTCGACAGATTTTGACATTTTAGCCATTATGTTGACTTTGATACCTTCGACAGATTTGGACATTTTAGCCATTATGTTTACTTTGATCCCTTCGACAGATTTTGACATTTTAGCCATTATGTTTACTTTGATACCTTCGACAGTTTTTGACATTTTAGCCATTATGTTTATTTTGATACCTTTGACAGATTTGGACGTTTTAGCCATTATGTTTACTTCGACCGACTTTTTGTCCACAACATTTTGATTTAAGCTTTTTTTGCTGTCAAAGCCAGTTAACAGATGCAATCAATGGCGTATTAAAATTTGCCAATATAATTTCAGATATTGGAAACCATGTAGATAACATACAAGATGATATGAACATTTATAAGAGTAACCTAAGTAATATAACGATGCTTCCAATCTTTCTGCCATTGAAATCTGATTCTATAAACATGTTCTATTTATTACAGATAATTTTTATTTAGTAATAACATATTTTCTAAATCTCTAATCATCCAATGCAAACATAAAGCCACTGAATCAGACGTGTGAATACTGAAATTTTACTTGACATATATATTAATGCTTGATATTTCTTGAATGCTTTGTGAACTTTCAGTTTTCATAAAGTTTGACACCAAATTCCTTGTATTTTGATAAAAATTATTTCATCTTTTTTCAGTGGCCTTTAACAAGATTCAAAATGCATTTAATTACTTCAATATGCAAATTTTACCTGAGAAATTCAACACATGAACATTTCAATCAATCAAAGTGAATACAAACAATAAATCTTATGTATACAGCAAACAAGCAAAGTGAATACAAACAATAAATCTTATGTATACAGCAAACAAGCCAAACGTACTATAATACATAACACGCATGCATTCTTGTGTGGAAACAGGGTCAAACTTGTAACAGTGGATTAGGGAATTTGATGATGTTAGTCAAACGTGTTTCAACCAATAGAGTATTTGTAGGGAATATATAACAGATTTTTGGGCAATCAAAAATGCAATAGAGCATACATAATTATGTAATCAAACAAAGATAAGATAAAGGTCAAACTCAGCCTTGTGTTATTTTTAAGATTTCCGTTGACAATGCGGCATGTATACCTGGTTATGATGGTATATGAGCGACTTGAACAAGGCACTTTAATGATAATGTCAGAAAATATTCCAACCACAGCAGATTGAAAACCATGCATCTATTATGTAGACAGATCAACCAAATATTATCATAAGGTTGGTTAGGAATTCATCATAAGGTCGGTTAGGAATTTATGAAATGTTTCTGCTAGACACTGTATCCATTGATGCACTTGAGTAAAACCACCTAGAAGACTTTAATAAATTTAAATATTTATCGCACAACTGATGAAAGATGTAGAAGCTTAATTCACAGGTATGCAAAGTATTTCGAGAAATATTGATGCAAAAAAGATACGAAGTGAAAATATCAGATAAGCTTCATCAAAAAAGATACATGTATTTGAGGAGGTATAGATAAGATACACATATTTGAGGCGCTCTAGATAAAGATACATGTATTTGAGGAGCTATAGATAATTCTATATTTCTGTCTTACAACAGCCAGAAGTGGATCAGTCTCCTGTTCAGTAGTCTGACTATCTTGATCAGGATTCACCTGATCATCCAGATCACCATGGTTACCATCACCATGATCACAGAATGGCTGAAAATAACATTTGAACTTGACACATAAGACAAAGAAGCAAACAGCATCATACACAGGTCACTAAATATGCTGTTTATCTCTATCTTATAAAGCAATTTTAATCGATGTCCTACCTACAGCTGAACCCCTTATTCCATTATGCCATGGCATTCTAAATAGGCTTCAATGCATAAAAATGCTAGAGCATGCACAAATGACCAGATCTATATAAAACATATCAATATTCCTAAATATCAAAGTTATCAAACTGGTCTGAAATCACTTTATCTTTACAAGTAAATAGTAATTTCAAAACGGAATATGTATAATTAGTTCTCTTTACTTTCTGAGATTAACTTGTTCCAGATTTTAAAACGAAACATTATGATGTTATAATGCACATTATCAACAAGAGGTTGGATTGATGATTCTTAGACAGATAAATAATGAGATTGGATATTAAATTGAAATGCTGTGAAATGATTAGAAAAGAAATTGGGTCACTTCCAATTCAAATATGTTAAAATGGGTGATTGGATTGGAATTAAAAACTAAGAATTCACCGCAACCAATACTATGAAAATGTCAATTAATACAAGTGTATTGTCTTCATTATCAACCCTTGCATTACCATGCATTAATAGCTACAGTAATTAATTGACACATTCATATTCAATATTTTGGGAATTTCTTACAAAATTCAAAGCTTCACTAAATATAACAAAAGAGTTATCCAGGAAAGGGAGATAACTCTTTTCATATTAAACTTTGATAAAAGTAGAATATTCCCTTAGGTTAAAAACTAAAACCCCTTTGTCTACAGAGTAGAACAAAGAAGAGAAATGATAGGAAAGGAGTACACAATGATAATTTTTTTTACAAAATTATCATAGCATTTAGGAACTTACACCATTAGCACTTTCTTCTTGCTCAAACATCTTAAAATTAAAGAAAAGAAAAAAACATTTTACATTTAAAGTGAAAACCACAACATAAATGAAAAATCATGCTTCTTAATTATTCTGGGGTCTGTCACCAGCGATCACCAGTGGTCCCTGCCTTTAGCCCTCTGCTGTGACAGCCCTAATCCTGTGCATGCAGGGAGATAACTCTATTTCATAGTGCTTCACCAGTGATCAGCTCGGCTAGCTGCCCTGCACCTTAGAAACAGGGATTCAAATATTCACACTATAGGCACGAAGAACCTATTTCTGAATAGGAATAGTTAAGGGTATAGCTGAAAGTGGGATGGGCTCGTTTATGAATCTTGAGCTTATGACTGTAGCTCTTTTGATTGGACTAACCATGATACTTAAGTGTATATTCAACAACAAAAACTTGAATTTTGTATTATATCTTGTTCTATTCACAAGCAAATAAAACAATAATATAAGGTGTATTAACTCAGAAAAGTTGTATTTTATTACTGTTTCCTTGTATATAGATAACTTAACTCTAAGCATAGCCAGCCAATTAACAGCTATGATGAACTAGTGGTATCAGAAATGACAGTAGAACAGCTGATGGAACCTTCAACAACTACTTGTATCTATTGAAAGACACACCCAGACATGTCTCCCATAGGAACACCTTTAATACAACACTAGGAAACATAAATGACATTCAGGAAATTACACTCTGGAGATTTCACTTAGCAACATGCATTCACCTATCTGGAGACGACCTTGAAGAACAGCTGACCCAGAAGTGCTGCTGAGTATTGATTATTTTATGGAGCATGTAAAATTCCTGTAAACATGTTTAGGGTTATAGATCGGTAAATGTGTGCATCACTTGGAATAGCGAGAAGACAAAAGGTCACATGAATAAATGAAGGGAGAAGTAAAGCTGTGTATCTCCTCTATACAGGAGTTATAATACAGGGTAGCGGGCACACAAGATGTATTGATGTCTGTATATAAACACAATTGTAACAGATTACACATACCAATCTAGCTCCTATATGCCTTGGGTATGCTTATGGCAAATGTTGTTTATTTACTAGGTTTTGACAACTGAGTTTGTCACATCTAGACAGAAGGTACGAACAGTGTGACAGCTGACCAAATCTCATACCATACTAAAGTACCACATCTGATCATCCGACACAGAACCAGGTACTAAAGTACCACATCTGACCACTCCTCACAGAACCAGGTACGATAGTGCCACATCTGACCATCCCTCACAGAACCAGGTACTAAAGTGCCACATCTGACCATCCCTCACAGAACCAGGTACGATAGCGCCACATCTGATCATCCCTCACAGAACCAGGTACTAAAGTACCACATATGACCACCCCTCACAGAACCAGGTACGATAGCGCCACATCTGACCATCCCTTGCAGAAACAGGTACAATAGTGCCACATCTGACCATCACTCGCAGAACCATGCAGGTACTAAAGAGCCGCATTTGGCCACCCCTCACAGAACCAGGTACGATAGTGCCACATCTGACCATTCCTCGCAGAACCAGGTATGATAGTGCCACATCTGGCCACCCCTCGCAGAACCATGAAGGTACCTAAGAGCCACATCTGACCATCCCTTGCAGAACCAGGTATGATCGTGCCACAAATGACCATCTCTCAGATTCAGTACCAGGCCTGTAAATAGGACTTCAAGACCTTGCTCCTCAAACTGACCTCAGCCTACCCGGGCCTCCACAGAGTGTCCACTCGGACTTATTGACCACACAGCAGTGACAGCTGTAGGCTGAGGACAAGCTTTAACCACTTGGAAAGCACAGCTATAATTGGTCAAGCAGATGCATGATTGATAAAACCTGGTCATCATCTGCTACAGTTAGACAGGCTTAGAATTCATCGACAGATACTTAAGCACACTCATCTACAGCTAACAGGCAAAACTCCAATCCATTCAATATTCATATGAATGATGAAAAGATAGAAAACACTGGTACGGATGTACTTGGAGAATAGTAGTCTATTTAGGGCCATAGTACCAGGAATGATACGGTTTTATTCAGTTGTATGTGGTAGTAGGGGGCCATATAAGAGAACTGGTGGTCCATAGGACCATATTATGAGAATCTACCAGTTGGCTTTGTGGCTAAAATAATTGAATGAATACTTCAACTATGACCTGATAATGCGAGTCTATGAGGTCAACTTGCTCATGGTCTATAGGACTAAAGTAAATGAGAATTAATCAGGGAAATGCCAAACCTTGATCACCAGCGATAGGATCCATATACTGGCTGATTCATCCCTCCAATCAAACCCGTCCTACATAGGAATCCAGACTGATAGGATCCATATAAGGGGTGATTCATCCCTCCAATCAAACCCGTCCTACATAGGAATCCAGACTCCGGTACAAACATGACATGTTCCATTCCACTTATATCCATATAGGGAACCTGAGGAGTTGTCTGGGTTAACACTAATGGATAGTGGTAGCCTGTAACACTGGGGACAATCGTGGCACCTAGTCACATTAATGTAGAGAGAGTGCTGTCAGAACCTAGAGAATTGTAGTCAGAATCAGATTGTATCTACAGCTGCTGGGACTATATATAGTAACACAAGTCCATGGTTGGCCTTCACATTCGTGGTGACACCCTAAACAGGACTCAATTCCTACTCAAGCCACTACAGGAAGGAGAGATACATTGGGTAGGAATATCCATGTCTTTAAATTTTATTCTCTCATACATAAAATGTCTGGAGTGACTCAACTAATGGGCCAATCCTCCAATGACCCATATTCGAATAATTTGAGTACTTTATTGAAAATACACACAATATCTAATATAGTATTTCTTAAAAATGAACGGAGATTGTAACCAAACCACAAACCATAAAAGATGGATTAGATTTAAGCTTGATTGTAAACATCGTGAAAAAGTCCACAGATCAGCGAGAACATCAGTGCAAAGCGGCCATTACAAACTCAATGAAAGTCACTCCCTGTCAAAAAAGTTACTACATATTAGTCCACTAGAATCGACCACTAAGTATAACATACACTGACCACAATTTGACCGTTACATTTAAACCTTTTACTGCCTTCCCTGCAGCAAAGATTAACGAAGAATGAATTCAGAAGACCTGGTCTCAAAACTCTTTGAATAAGCAGAAACTACCCAAAGCTATCAGTGTATAAATTCTGTCTATATTAGCTGATGTACATATACTTGTTATCAGGGGAGGGTACACAAGTGAGAAAGTATGGTACCTTCAATGGTATACATGGGTGTATTTGTGGTGATAGGTATTTGTGGTCTTGGATTGATATATTCATGGGTGTATTTGAGGCGGTGGGTTCCTACAGCCAAGGAGTAGTATACATGGGTGTATTTGAGGGGATGGGTTCCTACAGCCAAGGAGTAGTATACATGGGTGTAATTGAGGGGGATGGGTTCCTACAGCCAAGGAGTAGTATACATGGGTGTATTTGAGGGGGGTGGGTTCCTACAGCCAAGGAGTAGTATACATGGGTGTATTTGAGGGGGTGGGTTCCTACAGCCAAGGAGTAGTATACATGGGTGTAATTGAGGGGGATGGGTTCCTACAGCCAAGGAGTAGTATACATGGGTGTATTTGAGGGGGATGGGTTCCTACAGCCAAGGAGTAGTATACATGGGTGTATTTGAGGGGGATGGGTTCCTACAGCCAAGGAGTAGTATACATGGGTGTATTTGAGGGGGATGGGTTCCTACAGCCAAGGAGTAGTATACATCGGTGTATTTGAGGGGATGGGTTCCTACAGCCAACGAGTAGTATACATGGGTCTATTTGAGGGGGATGGGTTCCTACAGCCAAGGAGTAGTATACATGGGTGTATTTGAGGGGGATGGGTTCCTACAGTCAAGGAGTAGTATACCCCATGTATACCCCTAAAGTCACATTTCAACTGACAAGTCCAATTTAAAAATGTAAGGGTGAATGAGTTAATCATCCGACAGTAAATGTGACAGGTCAGTAGATGGCTAGCTGTGTGGGGGGCAAGGGTGATATAACCCCGTTTACAATCAGACCCTCTCTAGCTAATAACCCGTTTACAATCAGCCCCTCTCTAACTAATAACCCGTTTACAATCAGCCCCTCTCTAGCTAATAAACTGTTTACAATCAGCCCCTCTCTAGCTAATAAACGGTTTACAATCAGCGCCTCTCTAGCTAATAAACGGTTTACAATCAGCCCCTCTCTAGCTAATAAACGGTTTACAATCAGCCCCTCTCTAGCTAATAACCTGTTAACAATCAGCCCCTCTCTAGCTAATAACCTGTTAACAATCAGCCCCTCTCTAGCTAATAACCCGTTTACAATCAGCCCCTCTCTAGCTAATAACCCGTTTACAATCAGCCCCTCTCTAGCTAATAAACCAGTGACCAATCAGCCCCTCTCTAGCTAATAAACAGTTTACAATCAGCCCCTCTCTAGCTAATAAACAGTTTACAATCAGCCCCTCTCTAGCTAATAAACAGTTTACAATCAGCCCCTCTCTAGCTAATAAACTGTTTACAATCAGCCCCTCTCTAGCTAATAAACTGTTTACAATCAGCCCCTCTCTAGCTAATAAACCAGTGACCAATCTGCCCCTCTCTAGCTTATAAACCAGTGACCAATCTGCCCCTCTCTAGCTAATAAACCAGTGACCAATCAGCCCCTCTCTAGNCCCATGTATACCCCTAAAGTCACATTTCAACTGACAAGTCCAATTTAAAAATGTAAGGGTGAATGAGTTAATCATCCGACAGTAAATGTGACAGGTCAGTAGATGGCTAGCTGTGTGGGGGGCAAGGGTGATATAACCCCGTTTACAATCAGACCCTCTCTAGCTAATAACCCGTTTACAATCAGCCCCTCTCTAACTAATAACCCGTTTACAATCAGCCCCTCTCTAGCTAATAAACTGTTTACAATCAGCCCCTCTCTAGCTAATAAACGGTTTACAATCAGCGCCTC